AGAGAGAGAGAGAGAGAGAGAGAGAGAGAGAGAGAGAGAGAGAGAGAACAGGCTGGAGGAGATGGGAGATCCTCTTGTCTTGGTGGAAGGGAGGGTTGACAGTGGGCAGAGCTTGTCTCCTAAAGGACCAGGATATACAGGTGACAGACCAGGCCAGCAGATCATAACATTCCCATCTCTTTCTTAAAATAAAAATGTGGGAAGTTAGGCACACCATGTTAAAGCAATTGGAACAGCAGATTCTCAAGACTGTTTCCTGCTTTTTTGTGGGCATTGTCTTGAGGGGGGAGCTGAGAAAGCTGGGTGCTGATCACATCCTGGGGTAGCTGATTGCTTTGCTCCTGTCCAACCTCAGTTTCCTTTTCCTCCTAACCTCTCAGACCTCCTCCCCAATTCCTTATGCCTCTGCCCATTCCCTTCTCCTCCATTTCTATTCAGAAAAGAGCAATTTCCCATTGATTTTAATAATACAGGGTTTATAAATTTGTAATAAGACTAAGCACCTCACTTTGTATTAAGTCTGGGGAAGGCAACCCAGTATGAGGAACAGGGTCCCCATGGAGATAGAGACAGCTCCTGCTCCCAATGTTAGGGATCCCAAAAGAAGACCAAGCTAGACAACTGTCACATATATGCAGAAGGTCTAGGAGCCAGAGGGGTCAAGGATATCACAAGAAAACTCACAGCATTAACTCATGAGCTCATAGGCTCATAGACTCAGCCCAGAGACTGAGATGACAACCAGGGAGCCTGTGTAGTACTGACCTAGGCCCTCTGCATTTATGTGATATTATACTTTCAAGCAAAAACGTTTATATAACATTTTCAGGACTTACATTCTGGAACCATCCTCATGTTCTGTCTTTATCAAATCAAGTAAATATCAATAAGAACCCTTCAAGAGAACTAGGGAGGAAGAATTATTTAATGGCCCAGGATAAGGCTTGAAGGGTCATAGGATGTTGCTATTAAAAACAGAGATAAAAATTTCTAAATGATTCCATTTTATTTCCTTGTTGTGTACTCAGTTTTAAGTAATGGTTTTGTTGCATACAGTCAGAATATTCCTTGGTACATTAATAACTTTATCAGAATTGTGTTTTCAACTTTTTCTATATTTACTTGTT